TCTTTTTTGGTGAAGTGTATGTTGATGTCTTTTGCTCAGTTTTAAATTGGATTATTTGTCTTTTTGTTGTTGAGTTGTTGAAGTTTTCTATATATTTTAGAGATTAGACTCACCAGACATGTCATTGCCAATTTTCCCCCCTCAGTTTGTAGGTTCTCTATTTAATCTTTTGATGAGCATAGATATTTAATTTTTAGGAGGTCCCATTTATCTAGTTTATATTCTTGAGTTTCTAGAGATACATTTGAGGATAATAGACATCTTAACAATTTTGAGTCTTTCAGTCCATGAACATAGTCTATTGCTCCATATATTTAGGTGGTTTTTAATTTCTTTCACCATGTTTGGTATTTTTCAGTGATCCCATACATATTTTGTCATCCTCCCCCCTAAGTATTTAGTATTTTTAATAGTATTGTAAACAGTACTTTCAAAATTTCCAATTCTAATTGTTCATTGCTAATATATAGAAATAGAATTGATTTTTGTATATTAATCTGTTATCTTGCAACCATTCTAAACTTATTTCAATAGCTTTTTTGAATTATTATAAAGCTATAATAATACAGTATGGTATTGGAATTAAAAAAATGACATATAGATCAATGAAACAGAATATAGTCTAGAATAGACGCACAAATATATGGACAGATGATTTTTGACATAATTACAAAGGCAAAGTAGTGGAGAAAGGATAGTCTTTTCAACAAATGGTGCTGCAACAATGAGATATCCTTATGCAAAAAGCAAAACAAAACAAAAAAACTTTGATCCATATATTGCACCATATTAAAAAAAAATTAACTGAAAGTGGATTATAGATCTAACTGTAAAACCTGAAACTATGGAACGTCTAGGAAGAAATTATCCCATAGAAAAATCTATGTACCCTAATATTTAGGAGTAACCAGTAAAAACAATCTGGCTAGCCATATAATCATTCCCTGCAGTGAAACCACTTGTGGCAAGTCATGTACAATGACCCACCAAATAAAAATATTTTATTCCTAAACATGAATGAACAACCAAAGATCTTCAGGCATTTGAGAAAAGTCTTCATCATAGAAGAGAAAGTAAGAAAAATTTAAAGAAAGATACTCAACAGAAACATAAAGATGAAAAGATTTTGCATCCATGAAACAAATACAAGATGGCATTAAAAAAGGAAAATTCAGAGATCAAGAAAGAATTTGAAATTAAAATTTTGATAGCAGAAATGAAAAACTCAATGTTGCTGTTGTTAGGTGCCTTCAAGTTGTCTCTGACTCATAGCGACCCCTCCTTGGGTTTCTGAGGCAGTATCACTATGGAAGTAGATTGCCCAGCCTTCTTCCAACAAGTGGCTGGTGGGTTTGAACCACCAACCTTCTGGTAAGCAGTCAAGTGCCTTAGTACCTATGCCACCAGAGCTCCCGAAAACTCAATAGGATGGTTAAAAACAGATGGATAGTGGCAGAGAAAGGATAAGAAAAATATAGGTCAATATAATAAGGATTGCAGCAAATGAGAACATAAAATGAAAAGGAAGACATAATCTAACAAATAATACAGGAACATTTCTCAAACTAAAAGATCTGAGCTTCCAGACTGAAAGGACAGAGAGCCCAGTGTAATGAGTTCTAAATACCCAAATTCAAGGCACATCCTCAAAGCTCTCAGAGAAAGAAAAAAAAAATCATAAATAAAAAGTATAGATTTGTAATATTATATTTCTCAAAAGCAAAATTAGAAGCTAACAGACAATAGAGCCTTCACAATTCTTAGTAAAAATTATTTTAAATTTATGATTCCATACCCAGCCAAGCTATCAACACATGTGAGTGTAGAATTAAGGTATTTTTGGAAGCAAAATGCAAAGTCTGAAAAAATTTACATCTCAAGAAGCTACAGAAGTATGCATTATACCAAATTGAGGTAAACCAGGAGAGAGGAAGATGTGTAATATAGGAAATAGGGGTTATAACACTGGAAGGAGATAAAAGAAATTCCCAGAGTGATAATGAAGGAAGTCCCAAGTAACAGCTATGTGGAAGGACAGAGAGGGCTCTAGCAAGGAGACCTCAAAAGGAAGAAAATGAAATAATAGGCAGTTTGACAGGTTTTATGTGTGGAAGATTAAGAAGACTATTACAGAGTTCTTAGATTATATGGAAAGACTTGGATGTATATATAAAAAAAAGAAAAAAAACCAAAGTAAATGAAAATAAGTATTCTTGTCATTTCATAAAAGTGAGATTATACAATATTTGTCTTTTTGTGACTGACTAAATAAGTCAAAGTATTTTCAGCATATTGCCTTCCAGATTCATCTACATCACAAGAGTTTCAGGAACTCATTTTTCTTATGTAGTGTTCTATTGTGGGAACTCTGGTAGCATAGTGCCTAAGGCACTTGACCCACCAGCCACTCCTTGGAAGGAAGATTGGGCAATCTACTTCCGTGGTGATACCACCTCAGAAACCCAAGGAGAGGTCGCTATGAGTTGGGTCTGACTTGACGGCACATAACACAACACCAACAACATTCCATTGTATGTGTATACCACATTTTGCTTAGCCATTCATTCGTCTGTTGATGGGTACTTAGGTTCTTTCTAACTGTTTTGCTCTTGTGAATGGTGCTACAATGAACATAGGTGTGCATATGTCTGTTTGTGTCACTTTTATTAAATCCCTAGGGCATATGCCTAGAAGTAGAATTCCAATATTCCCACATCCATGACAATGTTTATTATTTTTCTTTCTTTTTTTAATCTTAGGCATCCTAAAACCCTTTGCCATTGAATCTATTCCAACTCATAGTGACCCTATAGGACAGAGTACATTTGCCCCATAGGATTTTCAAGGTTATATAATCTTTACCGAAGAAGAGTGTCACTTCTTTTTCCTGTGAATTGGCTGGTGGGTTTGAACTGCCTACCATTCTTTTCAGTTAGCCATCCTAGTAGGAGTGTATATTGCCTTGTAGTTAATTTGCATTTCTCTTTCAATAGATGACATTGAGCATCTTTTTGTGTATTTGTTGTCTATTTGAACATCCTTTTTGGGGAAGTGTCCGTGTCCTTTGTCTATTTTTTTTTTATTATTGATTTACCTTTTCATTGTTAAGTTGTAGAAGATTTATATACGTTTTCGTTATTAGATTTTTATTGGTTATATTGTTCCCGAGGATTTTTTCCCAGTCTGTAGGTTGTCTTTTTATTATTTTGATAAAGTCTTATTTATTTATTTATAATTGTGATTTGGGTGAAAGTTTACAGAGCAAATTTGCTTTCCATACGGCAGTTCACATACACTTTGTCTCATGACATTGACTATAATTTCCCACAATGCAACAGCCCCCTCCCACTTCCTCTCCATAGTTACCTCTTCCCTGTGTCCTTCCCTCCATGTACTCCTGCCCCCTGAGCTATGTCCCTGTGCATACACAGCCCTTCTGTTTTCCCATGATTGTTCTCTCCAAGGATTGTATCTACCTAGTGTAAATGTTCACCTTATATGCCTATCTTTTGTTTGGCTGGAAGCCACAGGAGTGGGTTCAATTCCAGATCTGAAGGGCAGCTAGGGGCCATAGTCTCAGTGGTCCCATTAGGCTCTATCAGACCAGCAAACTTGGTCCCTTTTCTTTTGATAAAGTCTTTTGAAGAACATTACCAAAAAAAAAAAAAAAACCAAGCTAAAGTCACTGCTATCGAGTCGATTCGAACTCATAGCAACCCTCGTTGGGTTTCCGAGGCAGTAAATCTTTGTGTAGATTTTGTTGCATCTTCCTTCTGTGGAATGGCTGGCGGGTTTGAACCACCAATCTACTGGTTAGCAATCAAATGCCTTAAGCACTAAAGCCACATAAGTATTTAATTTTTATGAGGTCTTAGTTATCTGTTTTGTCTTCTGCTTGTGTATTCATTGTGTTTGATAATTTAGCATTGAAAAAAGTTAGATCCTATAGCTTTGCTCCTATGTTTTCTCCCAAGAACTTTATAGTTTTAGATTTAACATTTAGGTCTATGATCTATTTTGAATTAGTTTTTGTATATGGCATGAGGTATGGATCTTGCTTCATTTTTCTGCATGTGGAAATCCAGTTTTTGGCGACACCATTTGTTAATGAAACAATTCCTTCCTCATTGAATGGATTTAACTCCCATGTTGAAAATCAATTAGCCATAGATGTTTGGTTTTATCTGCGTTTTTAATTCTCTTCCATTGGTCTAAGTGTTTATATTTAAACTGGTACCATGCCATTTGATTACTGTAGCTATGCAATATGTTTTGAAGTTGGCAAGTGTGAGGCCTCCTACTTTTTCTTCAAAATTGGTTTGGCTATTTGAGTTCTCTTTTCTTTTCATAAGGAGCCCTAGTGGCAAAGTGGTTAAGTACTTGGATGCTAACTGAAAAGATCAGTGGTTCAAACCCACCAGCTACTCCACAGTACTCCAATACATGCTTGAGTCCCTGCTTTCAAGTCTTTTGGGCTCTGGTAGCATAGTGCCTAAGGTTCTTGACTGCTAACCAGAAGGCTGGCGGTTCAAACCCACCAACCACTCTTTGGAAGGAAGGTTGGGCAATCTACTTCCGTAGTAATACTGCCTCGGAAACCCAAGGAGGGGTCGCTATGAGTAGGGTCCGACTCAACGGCACATAACAACAAAACAACAACAGCTGGAAATGGAATTTCTGGTTGTAGTATAATTCTATGTTTAACTTTTTGAGGAAGCTTCATTTAGTTTTTATTTAAATTAACAAATCTTATGCATTAAATGCCTGGTGCTGCCCAGACACTGGGATGCCTGGATGGAAAGGTCTCTTTTCATTTCTCCTCTGATAGGATAAATCATATATTCAAAGACTAACTAACCCCTCTTCTCACCCAAGTCCGTGCCTTTTTTGCTAAGCTGGACTTCAAAAAAATGTGAATATTCTTCCCTGAGTTGGGCTGGGAAGGCTATTGAGGAGAAAGAATGAGGTTCAAAGTCTTCATGTGTTTCTCTGTTCAGAACATGAATGGCTTTGAGGAAGGTGTGGAGTTCCTGCCAGTCAACAATACTGAGAAGGTGGAGAAGCGGGGCCCAAGACGCTGGGTGGTGCTAGTGGCTACAGTCACCTGCTTCTTCCTGCTTTCTGTTGTGATTGGTGCCCTGGTGTGGCACTTCCAATGTAAGTAAGACCTGGGGAGTTGGCTCTGGGGAGGGCAGTATAGGGTGGCTAATACCCCTCCTTCAACAGACATGCCCAAATCCACCTTATGGACTCCACTTGTTCCTAACTGGATGTCATATGAATGAATGAGAGAGAGAATGAGAGTTAAGGGGTAGAGGTTTAGAGTGGGATGAGGAGGAGATTTTAAGGGCTCCATCTCTTCTGGCTCTTTGAAGCTGTGAGGAGAGAGTGATGAATGGATGAGTTGGCCAGAGCTGGCCAGCAGGTTCACAAGTCCACTTGTCACCACCTGGCTTTCACTCTTCTTGAGAGAGATGGGGGGATGGAAGGGAGAGCATGCGGTCCCACTTCCTTTAACTGCTTTCCTTCCCTGATCTTGCCCAGACTGGAATGTGAGGGTCCAGAAGGTCTTCAATGGCCACTTGAGGATCAGAAATGAGAACTTTGTGGATGCCTATGAGAACTCCAGTTCCACAGAGTTTGCACACATGGCCAACAAGGTGAAGGAAGCGGTGAGTCTGATGGCTGGACACTGTCTCTTGCTCTGGTACCCCTACCCTTGGCAGAAGAACGACATCTGGTTTCTCTTCATCTTCCATCCCAGATCCCTGGGCTGGGGGTGTGACATGGGAAGCGGGGAGGAATATGAGGGGAGGGATCACTGGCTATTCTTGGCTTGCTGTGAGCCTCCTCTCTACCCTCAGCTGAAGCTGTTATACAGTGGAATCCCGGCCCTGGGCCCCTACCACAAGGAGTCGGCAGTGACTGCCTTCAGGTGGGTGCTATGGAGAAGGCTGTGCTGGGAGATTGGGAACAGGAGGAACACTGTGGGATTGTCTCCTGGTGCTCTGGCCTGTCCAAGAATGGGATTGGAGTGCTGTAGTATGGGAGGACAAATGCCTTATAGTCTTGCAGACTGGCTTAGACAAACCCAAGGTCCAAGTCCTTGTTCTGTCTTATGAAAAGTTACTCACCACATTTAGCTCTTGTCTCTTAAGGTGGGGATGATAATAGTATTGATGATAGGATGCAGTGGGTGGCAAATGCTGGTAAAAGTTGTTGCACAGTCTCTGCCACAGAAGCTGCAGTCAGTCATGGAAGCTATTATTTATTTTTCCAAATTTGAATTTGGAGGACTTGAGGTGCTCAAGAAGGCTTCCATTTTCCTTGTTTGTCTTCACATTTTCCTTGTTTGGGCATATATATTAATAACTCATTCATGTAGGGCTTTCTGATTTTCAAAAGCACTTTTAATTTTGCTCATTTTCTTGATCTTATGAGTGCTTCATGGCAAGTGGTCCTGTCATCCTATTTCTCAGACCCAGAAGCAGACTCAGGAAGGTGATACCCAGTGTGCCCAAGAGAGTGGTAGAGCCAAAATTCCCATACTAAACCTGAGCTGGCCCCAGAAATGTCTGCTTGCAGGCAGGGGTGATACTGATGGAGCAGAGGGTAAAGGGCCAAGATCTTTTGCATAGAACATCAAACAGTGGGTGAGAATAAAAGAGAATCTGGGAGGTAGGGACTCTGCCTGGTGGCAGGGACTTTTTATTTGGTGGGGAGGTGGGCAGTGGGTGGCAGTCTCTTGTGGATATCCCAAGCTGTCCAGTCTGCTCCCTGCAGTCAGTAGGAGGGAATGGGCATTTGGGAAGAGGTATACCCAGAGACCCATGACTTGGGCCCTCCTCCTCTCTCCAGCGAGGGCAGTGTCATCGCCTACTACTGGTCTGAGTTCAGCATCCCACAGCATCTGGTGGAGGAGGCTGAGCGTGCCATGGCAGAGGAACATGTGGTCACACTACCACCCCGTGCTCGGGCACTCCAGTCCTTTGTGCTGACTTCTGTGGTGGCCTTCCGTGAGTCTAGGGTAGATGGGCAGCAGTGAAGGGTGTGTGGCAGGGAGGTGGCCAACCTTTAATGGAATGGTTCTGGGTCCTGACTGTCCCTCTTAACTGAGGAAAGGAGGTAGAACCAACACTTGCTGAGTTCAGGCACTGTCCTGAGCACTTCCTGGTAGGGCAGTATGGAAGCAGGAATGAGGAAATAGATAACATCAGTAAATACTTTGTTCTCCCTCTTGTTCTTCAGCCACTGACCCCAGAACAGTGCAGACGACCCGGGACAGTAAGTATATGCTTCTTCCTCTGCCTCTGACTGGAGGGGGTGGAAGGGGTGGACATAATGGCCCCTAAGTCAAGGGGCCCAGAAATCTGAGGGGTGATAGCACATCTCTCCACCTTTTCTAGACACTGCTGAAATCCTCCTCCACACTTCCCATGTCCACTGGGAACTGTCCCCAGGGCAGCTGGGAGGGTACCCCCTTGGTCTCTGGAGCTCTGCTCCACTCCTTGATCCATCCTGTCTCCTTCACAGACAGCTGCAGCTTTGCTCTGCATGCCCATGGAGGGGAGTGGACGCGGTTCACCACGCCTGGCTTCCCCGACAGCCCCTACCCGGCTCGCGCTCGCTGCCAGTGGGCCCTGCGGGGAGACGCCGACTCTGTGCTGAGCCTTACCTTCCGCAGCTTTGATCTTGCACCTTGCGACGAGCGGGGCAGTGACCTGGTTACGGTGTATGACAGCTTGAGTCCCATGGAGCCCCATGCTGTGGTGCAGTGAGTGTGAAGGGGAAGAGGGTCCTCCTGGTGAGGCAAGACATCCTGAATGAAATGCAGTGTGGGAAACACCAGGAGTCCACTTTATATTTTGGCAGTGCATATACATCATCCATCCACCAAGCTACTGTTGCTCCCATGCTGCAGATGAGGGTATAGGTTGTGACTCATTCTGGCTAAAGGCTGCCTCACAGCTTCTAGATAGCAAGGAATAGGTGTGAGCTGATCTTCCACATGACTTCTAATTGTATTTGGGGGGGGCGGGGATTTCTCAGCCTTTGTGAGGATGAGGAAGGCTCAGCAGGGTGCCTCCTTTTAGCATGAAAGAAAAGGCATGCTGAGGAGTGGGCACTGAGATGGATACCCAGCCAACCCTGCTCACCTCAGTGTAGAGCCCTCCTCTCAGAGGGCCTGCCTTCTGGTTCCCCCTGACTCAGTGGGCCAGAGCCATCTCCTGCCATATATGGAAATGAGCTGGAAGGACACTTCATGATTAATAATCATTTAAAATTCAGGCCCAAAGCAAAAGATAAAACCATCTGTTACCACATTTTAGCAGCAGGGACTGCTGCCTCAGCACCTTTTTTGTGGAGGATTCCTTCCTCTCTCCAGTTTATTAATTTTACAAAAATAGAAAAAAGACAAGGAAAAAGAAAACAACAACAACAACAACAACACACACACACACACACACACTAATAATATTACTAGCTTACTAGCTAAAAAAAAACTGGTTAAGTTTTTGGTGTATATTCTTTTAGACTTCTTGCTGTGTATGTATATTTAAAAATAGAATTATAGTATACATTCAGTTTTTCTATCTGCTTTTTTAAATGAAGTATATTAGGATGATCTTTTCACATTGATAGACTTGTCTCTAACCTCATTTTCAGTGGCTACATACGGTCTCATTGGTTAGAGGCAGGGTGGTTTAGTCGTTAGGAGTATGGGCTCTGGAGCCTTAAGGCCTACATTTGAATCCCAATTATGAACTGTATAATCTTGAACAAGTTAGCTAATCTCTTTATGCCTCAATTCCATAATCTATAAAATGAGCATAATAGTATCTACCTCACAGGTAGAATGACATGAATAATTAGATATAAAAGTACTAAAACAGTGCCTAGCATAGTCTTAATCATTGTTAATTATGTTGCTATTACTATGACTACTATTAATGTTATTCAGCCTATAGTTTATTAAATACATCCTCTATTGCTAGGCATTTAATGTGTCTAAAGTTTTGCTATTTTAAAGACAAACAGTCTTATAACTAAATCCTTACATACTTGATTGCTTATGTGGGAAAGGACTTACCGGAGGATCTTTTTAATCCTACCCTTGGCCTTTTGTTGCTGGTATGTCTAAAAGATACTTTAATTATACTTTAAAATTCAAATTTAAGTTACAGTTCAGCTACATGGCTTACAACCATAAGTATAGTTGGATGAACCATTGAGAGGTGACCAAGCTTACCTACACAGTGGCAGTGATACCAGCTCCCACAGCTCTCACCTGCTGATGACTGGCAGCTCCACTTTGAAATCAGTTGTCAGGTACATCTTGGTTTCAGAAAATGTAGAAGTATCTTGGAACTAAGGAAGTACAGTGATACAGTTTTACATTTGGGTAATGCAGCAGCCCATTGAGCTGTTGTTGCTTCCATGTGAGAGAGGAGGTACTTGAGACAAGCTGTGATAGGCAAGCACACAGAGACACAACCTTTTATGGCTGCTGTATTCTTTGGGCCCTCTCTGTTTGGGGAGCAGAGGAGCTTGTAAGAAGGTCAGGCTCTGCCTTCTTTCCCTAACATGACCTCCCTCTGCCCACCCCACAGGCTGTGTGGCACCTACCCTCCCTCCTACAACCTGACCTTCCTCTCCTCCCAGAACGTCTTCCTTGTCACACTGATCACCAACACTGAGAGACGACATCCTGGCTTTGAGGCCACATTCTTCCAGCTTCCCAAGATGAGCAGTAAGGAAGGGCAGGGTGAGCAGTACTGTCTGCTAGAAGGGAGGAGGGCTTGTGCCTTGTAGGGGGACCTGGGCCCAGAGCCACTGGCTAAATACTTGGTAGGTGGCAAACACTCAGGTCAGCAACAGAGGTTTAACCCTTAAGCCAACACACCTGGGTCAGGAGCCCTCCCTAAGGCATTGACCCCACTACTCAGACTTTCCACAACCTGCTGTTAAAGTGTCTAGGTACCCAGAAATGCAGTATCCCTTCCTGTGGGGTCAGCATGCTAAGAGTACAGGATTTGCCTCAGGCCCATTTTCCTCAGGGAGCAGAGCCCACTCTACCTATCGCCTTGGCCCAATGGGTCCTTGGACCTCATGCCGTCTCTCTTGCCCTTTCCTCGCAGAGTGTGGAGGTTACTTACGTCAGGCCAAAGGGACATTTAGCAGCCCCTATTATCCAGGCCACTACCCACCCAATATTGACTGCACGTGGAACATCGAGGTAGGTGCTGCCATGGGGTTTGTGTGAGACAGATGGATGCTCCAGGGTGGCATACATGAAAGACAGGGAGAGGGAAGACTGAGCTCCTTTAGCAAGCCCAGGAGGCCCATGTCTGAGCCCCTCAGGCTCATGTAGGGTTCATTCAGATCATCTGTTTCAACACGACAGACCCAGGTCCAAATCCTGGCTCCCTCATCTGTTATTGACTTTGGCCCATTAAACTCTCTGTTTACTCATTGGTAAAATGAAGGTAATGGTATGTATCTTTTGGAAGTGCTATGAGGATTAAGTTTGATTAAGTAAGACATGGTTACTGATGCTGAGAAGCACTTGTCAAATGGCAGCTAGAAAAGATAGTCTTGGCAATAGGACTGCCCTTCATACCATCCCAATCAGAGATCCAGTAACAACTGGAGAACTGCCCAGCCTCCTTTCAAAATACAATAGTGGTTTCTGTCTCTGATCTAGAAATTCTAAACACCTAATCTGAAACATTTCTGCTCTGTGTTCCATGTTGTCCACATGGGCTCAGTTTGGAAGATGGAAAACATGAAATTAAGAGGGAAAGGAAAAAAGTCAGCAACTATGCTCTTGCTCCCCATTCCTTCTCCCCTCACCCACCATATACCATGATACCCTGGGATTTAGGGAAAAGGGAAAGAAGCAACAGAGACCTAGTAGCAGCTCTACCTTTAGGTGCCCAACAACCAGTACGTGAAGGTGCGCTTCAAACTTTTCTACCTGGTGGAGCCCAACATGTCACCAGTCATCTGCACCAAGGACTATGTGGAAGTCAACGGGGAGAAGTGCGTACCTTGGGGGCGTGGGACAGCCCACGCCTTGTTCTGGGGCCACAGCCAAGCTCTTGGTCTCACTGCTGTGCCCTTCCCTCCAGGCACTGTGGAGAGAAGTCCCAGTTTGTTGTCACCAGCAACAGCAGCAAGATCACAGTCCATTTCCACTCAGACCAGTCCTACACTGACACAGGGTTCCTGGCAGAGTACCTCTCCTATGACTCCAGTGACCGTGAGTAAATAGGGTTAGGGTTAGGCCATTACTCAGTCACATTTGGAAGAAGATCCTCCTTCAAGGATTTACCCAAGATTAACTTTCGACTCTATTATCTTGTGAACATTGTGTTTTCCCGATTGTAAGTCTCCAGAGAATGTAAGACAGTTATGCCTACAGTAGCTTTTTTGGGGGGGGAATAATACAACTTAAAACATATTTATTGGAAAAGACTGATGGTGTACAATTACCCACCCTGTCCCGCAGGGCCACAGTCCTGGTGGGCAGGCTGAGCCATGGACTCCCTGAGTTCCTCTGGTATCATGCCTGTGATGTAACCTCAAATGACTTTAAAGTCTAGGCTTGTCTCAGGGACCTTTTAACACCTTTGGGATTAATAGGATAATTTTTTGAGGCATTTTGGAAAATACTGGGGCTTTGGTTTGCATTTCCTCTTTTGTTAGCCCATAGTTTCATTTCTCCCCTAAAATGGAGTTAGACTACTTTACCATTAACCAGAAGGTTGTGAGTGAAGCTATTTAGTAGGAGGTGGTTGTTTTCACATGGACTGAATAGCAACTCCTAGCTCTGAAAATTTGTGATCTATGCCTACAAGGAGAGTTCTGGTGGTGTAGTGCCTAAGGCATTTGACTGCTAACCAGAAGGCTGGCAGTTCAAACCCACAGGCCACTCCTCGGAAAGAAAGTTGGGCAATCTACTTCTGTAGTGATACCACCTCAGAAACCCAACGAGGGGTCGTTATGAGTCGGATCTGGCTCGACGGCAGTGAGTTTGGTTTTTTGGTTTACGCCTACAAGATCTGGCAATTTCTGTGGCCTTTAATTTCACTCTGTGCTATGTGACTAGCAATTCTTCCATGTATTTTTTGTTTCAACCCTGCATCATAGAATTACCTTTGGACGGTATTTTAATTCTACTTAGAAATTCAACTTTAATATTCACCTGCATAGCTACAACCAAATTGGATGACCAAATTTACTTTTGATAGTGATTAAGCTTACTTCTGTTGTTAGTTGCATTCTGACTCATAGTGATCCTGTAGGGCAGAGTGTAATTGCCTCATAGGGTTTCTTAGGCTGGAAATCTTTATGGGAGCAGATTGCAAAGTCTTTTCTCCCATGGACTATCTGGTGGGTTTGAACTGCCAACCTTTTGGTTAGTAGCTAAGGACTTAACCACCACCACCAAGTGCTGTGTAAGGGTGGTAACAATGGCCTCTGTCATCTACCCAATAACAACTCCATTTTGAAATTAGTTGTCAGGCACATCCTGATGTTAGAAACACTGGAATTAAGGGAAGTGATGCCATTTTATATATGAGTAGAGGAGAGTGCCAGCCCACTGAGCTGCTATCTCCTATGTTAGAGGAGAGGCGTTTGGGATAGTTGAGGACTGTGATAGGTAAGACACAGAGGCAGTAGGACTGAGTGCACACCTAGGACAGCCTTTTTGCTGGGGTTTCAGGCACCAGAAGTCAGTCTCACAAGCCAGGGAATTCACAGCTGTCCCTCTCCTCGTGGGCTGTGTGGTTGTAGGTGCTCTTTTGCCAAGCAGGCATCTTGTCAGAAGGAAGCACACTTTTGGGTCTGGGAGACCATGTCCTCAGGTCCCAGCTCTTGCCTCCTCCCATCTCTTTGAGGGCCAGCTGGAAAGAGATTTTTCTCTGTCCTGAGTGTGGGTGTACAGTTGGCTGAGGAGGGAGGTATAGGAGCCAGCTGTGGGAGGCTGTGGACTTTAGGCCTGCCCTGTGCCCACAGCGTGCCCTGGCATGTTCACCTGCAAGACAGGGCGGTGCATCCGGAACACCCTGCGCTGCGATGGCTGGGCTGACTGCACTGACTACAGTGACGAGCTCAACTGTGGTGAGTCAATGCTGGATGGCCCGGTCCCTGTCCCTTCACTGCCCACCTGCCCTTGCCAAGTCCCAAGGATCTCCCTTTCATGTAGAAATCTAGCCAGGAACCTCTTTCCCCCCTCTGCTATTTGGCAATCTTTGCTTCTGTCTGAACAGAAGCACTGAGGTCAGCTTCCATAGCTAATAGAGCAGGGACACTCCAGACATTGCTCTGTAGATGGGAGGGAGCTTGGTCTCCAGAGAGTCATGCAATTGCCTGGAACTGGTGGGTGGTGCCACAAGACCTCAGGTGCCAGCTGAGCCTGGCCCTCTGACTCCTATCCTTCACCCTTCCAGTGTGCAGTGCTTCTCATCAATTCACGTGCAAGAACAAGTTCTGCAAGCCCCTTTTCTGGGTCTGTGACAATGTGAATGACTGTGGAGACAACAGCGATGAGCTGGGGTGCAGTGAGTGCTCATTAGGGGGCTTCCCCTGGGGGAAGAGCTACTTACTTGCAGCTACTTGCAGATAACCAGTGGGTGGCCGGCCTCAGGGGTTGGGGGTGAGTGGATAAGCAGCTGTCATTAAGCACTTGGGCTTCCCAGGCTGTCCAGCCAAGACTTTCGAATGTGGCAATGGGAAGTGCCTCCCACTGAGCCAACAGTGTGACGGAAAGGACAACTGTGGAGATGGGTCTGATGAGGCCGAGTGTAACAAAGGTGAGGACTGGCACCCACTTGTGGGTGATGTTGAGGGATGGCGGGAACAGGGTCACAACCTCTTCCTTTAGGGCCTTTCCTCCCGATGCGGGGTATAGTGAGGGATAGCCTGTCACCAGCTTTAATAGACACCACCCTGGTTACGGGGTGTGATGAGATAGAGTGCCCCTCTGGGGTCTCCTGGAAGGGGGAACACTTTTAGCGGGGCTTTCACAGACAGTGGACATGGGTGGGTGGGCAGGGTGTGCTTGGCAGACTGGGGTGGGGCTGAGTGAGGGGCTCAGTGAGAGGCTTCTGGCACTGACTTTGTGGCTTGTGGCCAGTTGCTGCAGAGGAATTGATTCTCTTCCCCTCTGCCCTCCTTGAGCAGTAAGCACTGTCACTTGCACCCAGCACACCTATCGCTGCCACAACGGGCTCTGCATAAACAAGGGCAACCCTGAATGTGATGGGAAGAAGGACTGCAGTGATGGCTCAGACGAGAAGGACTGTGGTAAGCAGTGCCACTGTACAGCTGTGCAGATTGTTCACTGGGCAAGGTGCCCACTCAGCAAGGTGCCCACTCAGCAGGGCATAAGGAAGCTGAAATCAGGCCAGCATCTCACTCACCGAGACCTGTGCCCTCTGAGGGCCTGTGTCTGTCTAGAGGAGAGAATGGCTTTTTCTAGCTAACTTAAAGGTACTCAGCATGGGTTAGCTGTGGTCCTGGTGTTGAGGCCCTGAGTGCCCAAGACACGAGCACACCCATGACACAGCTGCTCTCCTGGCAGCAGTGTGGGCTGCCCCAGCTGTGTGGACTGAAGCCCAGTGTGCATCCTCCTTCCTGCTGGAGGAAAGAGTGCAGCTTACCTGAGCACTGGTAGTCCTGGTTACCATGCCCTCTACCCTGTCCTTTAATTTGTAACCTGGTGTGTGTGTGTGTGTGTCAGAAGTGCTGGTGAAGCTGCAGCCATTCTGTGACCTTGTGTCACCCATCATGTCTCCCCTCTGAGACAGTGTCCTTTAGCATTCAATGGGAGATTTATGCAAATCATATCCAAATCAAATCTATGCAAATTAGGTTGTATCTCTAGGCCCCTGACTGCATTTGTACAGTATGAGGGAATGGGACAGTGAGGGTTTTGAATTTGGGAAGAAGAAAGAGAAAAGAGGCCAGGTCTCTCAAAGATACTTAGCCTTAAGGGTCCCCTGTGCCGTGCCTGCTTTAGTAGTGCTGGTGCACACCCCAGAGCAATTTCTCCAGATAGTTCCTGCTCTGAGGTGTGAGCCTGGTACAGGGACCCCCCTCCCTGGAGTCCAGTGCCTCCTTGACTCACAGTCTTTTGGGGCTTTCTACACCTCCCAGCCTGTGGGCAGCGATCGTTCAGCAGACAGTCACGTGTCGTTGGGGGCGAGAATGCAGATGAAGGTGAATGGCCCTGGCAGGTGAGCCTGCATGCCCTGGGCCAGGGCCATATCTGTGGGGCCTCCCTCATCTCTCCCACCTGGCTGGTCTCTGCAGCACACTGCCTCGTCGATGACAAAGGATTCAGGTGAGTCCCTGGTTAGGGGTAGAACAGCCTCCTATTGGCTCTAAATGTTATCTGGGACTTGAAAGCCCCCAAGTCTATTAGTCTTGCCAAGGAGGGGCAGCCCTTGGGCAGGAGAGGAGTAATGGCAGAGATGATAAAACTGATTTCATTAGGTGCTCACTCTGTCAGGCATTTTGTAAGGACCTCCTGCAGCAACCTGATCAGGCAGATCCTGTTGTGTCCTTGGAGTCCCTGGGTGATACAGATGGTTAACATGCTTGGCTGGCCTGGCAAGTCCACTTTAGAAAAATCAGCTATTGAAAACCCTGTGGAGCACAGTTCTATCTTGACATATATGGGTTTACCATGAGGCAGAGTTGACACCATGGCAACTGCAACAGGACTCTATCCTCACTTTATAGAAGCTGAGGTTGAGAGGGTAAAGAAACTTGCTTGCAGTGGTGCAAACAATTAAGCGCTCAACTATAACCCAAAAAGATTGGTGGTTCAAACCTACCCAGAAGTGCCTCAGAAGACAGGCTTGGCAGTCTGCTATCAAAAACCCTATGGAGGAGTTCTGCTTTGACACACATGGGATCACCATGAGTCAGAATTGACTCAACGGCAACTAGCAACAACACAGCTGTCAGGTGGTAGGCTAGACTTACATCCAGATTGGTTTGGTTCCAAAGCTAGTTCTCAGAAACCTCTGTATTACACAGACTCCTTAACATTGGTTAAGACCAGCCTTGGCTTGCTGGGGACCTTAGACAAGTTATCCAAATTTCCTAGGTCTCAGTTTCTTCATTGATAATGGTGACATTATTAATTTCTTATCCTAGAGTTGCAAGAACTAAGTATGATCATGCCGTTGAAACATTTAGGTGCCCAAGACATTGTAGCCTCAGGTACATGGGCCAACAAGAGGCCTGGTCCAATGAAAGTAGCAGCCAAAGTGACTAAGAAAGGGCCAGGCTGGCATTTTAGGAGTAGATAGGCAGGCCCAGAGACTGGGAGGTCAGAGAGTCAGCAGGAATGGGTGGCACTATCTGGGGTGGGCTACTGTGTCTTAACTCCCAACCTAGCCAGTCCCTTGGCCATTGGCTGCTGGGAGGTGTCTCAGAGGATAGTTTACTCCTGAAGAAGCAGAGACAGAGGGGGAGGCTTCCAGGAGGTTCCCATACTCAGAGCCTTCCTGTTGGGTAATTGCTACTCTGTGGTCAACAGCTCCATGATAAGGTAGCCCAGGCCGCTGCAGCTGCCCTGCTGGGTGGAGGGAGGAGAGGAGACCTGTGCACTCTTTGAAGAGAGAGCAGCATACAGTGTTCAGTGGATGTAGGCCCAGAAGGGCAAGAAGGTGCACATTGGCGTGGGAGCAGAGACCATGAAAAAGCCAAGGTGAATGGAGCCAGCTTGATGACCATGGGGTTGGTGGCATGCAGCTTCTTCAACCTGTGTCTGTCCTCCTTCCTCACCTCATTTTGCCATACTCCCCTCCACCCTGTGTGGAGATAACTTTCTTTTTGGGTTGATGGGAACATACTTAATAATTTTTTAAAATACATTTTTATTTTGGAATAATTTTAGATTTACAGAAGAGCTGCAAAGATTATACAAATCCTGGCCTACTCCTTACTAGCTGTGTGATCTTGCACAAGTAACTTAGAAGAATACACTGAGAGCAGTGTTTGGTAGTAGCCATATACCCTTCACTCAAAGGACAAAACCAAACCCATTGCCATCGTGTCAATTCTGACTCATGATGACTCTATAGGAGAGAGTGGAACTGCTTCAAGCTCCTTGCCTCTCACCCAGTTTCCTGTAATGTTAACATAGGAAAATGTTAACATAATGTTTGTCAGCACTAAGAAACTAACACTGGTCTATTACTATTAACTAAACTCCAGACTTTATTGGGGATTTCTCCAGTTTTTAAAATGATGTAAAACCCACCCAGAAGTGGAGTCACTCACTGCCATTGAGTTAGTTCCTAGTCATAGCAATGTTCACTGGGTTTCCAAGACTGTAAATCTTTATGGATGCAGATGCATCTTTCTTCTGTGGAGCAACTGGTGGGTTAGAACCACTGACCTTTTGGTTAGCAGCCAAATGCCTTAACACCACCAGAGCTCCTTGAATAATGCTATAGTGGGGGGCAAAATGATTGTTTCTTATTGTATCCTATACTTATTAGCTGATATTTTTTCTGTAAAGAATAGTTCTCCCTCCCCCTTTATAAATTATTTTGAAATTGTTTTTTTTTAGACTCAGATGGATTCGTGATACCCTTTTTCAATTATTCAGTATGTATAGTAATTTAATCCTGGTACTTATTTTGATGTTTAGTATTCTGAGTTTGACCAGTAAAAGCCTTTTGGCTCCTTTTGATATATTCCCATCAGTTTTTGAGCACTCACTCACTCTGGCAAAACAAAACATTTCAGTATCAATTTATGCTTTCCCTGCCCCAGTGCTGGGATCAGCTTTTCCTCCAAGGTATCTGGCTCCTGTTACTGGAAAAGGAGACATAGAAACCAACATCTGGGTACTACTGGGGATGCCATTGCCGTTCCTTTTCAAAATCATAAGGGTTTTGTTTTTGTTTTCTTCATCCCTCAACAAATTTATTCTCCTGTTCAATTTTTTTCTGCATTTTTTTTAATTGTTGTAAATGTAGATGTAACAAAACACTTGCCATTTCAACATTCTACGCACGTACAGTTCAGTGGCATTGATTACATTCACTGGGTTGTACAACTATCACCACTATTTTTTTCCAGATTTTTCCATCACCTTTAACAGAATCTCAGTGTCCCTCAAGCAATGAGTCCCTCTTTCTCCTACACCCCCCTCCAACACACATACATACACCCACTCCTGGTAACTACTTCTGGTAATAAACTTTGATAAGTTTTTACTGATACCTCTAATTCCAACCCAGCAGCATAGGGTTCTCCCTCTCTTCCCTACTATTTGTATTCTTCCCCCACCCCACCCCACCCCCTTTTTTTTTTTGACTAAGGAGCTCTGGTGGCATAGTGCTTAAGGTATTTTCCTGCTAACCAGAAGGTTGGCAGTTGAAACTCACTAGCCATTCCATGGAAAGAAGATGGGGCAATCTATTTCCATGAAGATTGACCACCTTGGAAACCCAATGAAAATTCTGACTCGCTATGAGTCAGAATCAACTCGATGGCAGTGAGTATGGTTTTTTTGAAGGTTTTTTTTTACTACTAACTGCAAGGTTGGTGCCTTGAATCCACCCAGTAGTACCATGGAAGAAAGGCCTAGCAATATGCTTCAGTTAAGATTACAGCCAAGAAAGCTATAGAGCAGTCCTGCATTGTACCACACGAGGTCTCTAAGAGTCGGAATTGACTGGACAGCAGTGGGAAAGATTTGGTTTGTTTTTTTTTCCTACACTGAAACTGGCTCCTAACAGCATCATATATTTCTTCATTTGCTGAGTCCTCAGTGTACATGATAAAGTTTCAGAACTGCCAACCTTACTCCACTACCAGGAACAAAACCAGTAAAGTTTCGTATGTTTTTCCAACTTGCTTTGCTCTTAGAATATACACTATTGTGTTTAAAAAAAATTTTTTGAATTTTTTATTCCTTTTGTGAAGTTAGATTCTTAAGTATATATATATTTGTAGTCAGATAAAAAATGCACTAAAAGAGGTTTTTTTTTTTTTTTTTTTTTTTTAAGAAAGGTTAAGAACTACAACAGAAGGCACTCAGTAAAGCTTACAGTTTTGGGTTAAGGTTAACCAAGTGAGAGTCTTACTCAGCTATTCTCCTCTTCTGGGAAGTTACTTTGTCTTTGGTAGGAAGCCCACTCTAGTATTTACAGGTAGGTGGTGGGGTACCCCTGTACCCCACTGCCTACACAGATCCATATGTGAACTGTGCTCTCTGGGTGCCCAGTGCCCTGAGCTGAACAACATCTGGATGAACGCCTATGCCCAGGCTTGCCCACTCTACAATGCCAGTTTTAACTATGCTTTCCCTCTGCTCACCCTTCCCAGGTATTCAGACCCTACCATGTGGACAGCATTCCTGGGCTTGCATGACCAGAGCAAGCGTGATGCCCCTGGGGTACAGGAGCATAAGCTAAAGCGTATTATCCGCCATCCCAGCTTCAACGACTTCACCTTTGACTATGACCTGGCCCTTCTGGAGCTGGAGCAGCCGGCCAAGTACAGCAATATGGTGCGGCCCATCTGCCTGCCTGACACCACTCATGTCTTCCCTGTGGGCAAGGCTATCTGGGTCACAGGCTGGGGGCACACCCAGGAAGGAGGTGAGTGCCAGGCCTAGCCCAGCAACCCTTCCTCTAGGCCATTCTGCCATTTGTCTTTGTCACCCCATTTGTCTCTCCCTGGCAGGATGAGGCCCTATCAGAGCCAAGTGGAAGCTTCTAGGGAAAGAAGCGTGAGGTTGGAGGAGGGATTCAAGGCCTGTCCTTGTGTTTAACTGAGTGAGGCAGGGCCAGTTGCTTAAAACTCTCTGAGCCTATTTTCTCAGTCTGTAAAATAAAGTTGATAGTACCTTTCCAAAGAGTGCTAAGTGGATGTAAGAAAACCAGTATGGATGGCTTAAGAGCTGTGCCGGCTCCTCTATCAGCACGGATCTGGGAAATCCAGCTTTCACTGCTGGCTATACTTCTTCACCTCTGAAGGGAGGCAAGCCATTAGTTGATAAATGCTATACTGTATTTAAATTTTTCAGTTATAAAGTTAATATAGCACTTGGATGAAAATTTAAGAATGTGGAAAAGAAAAAGGAAAATAACCTAACTTAGGAGCTCTTGTGGCACAATGTTTAAGTACTCAGCTGTAAAGCAAAAGGTGGGAAATTCAAACCTACCAGCCAGTCCATAGGAGAAAGATGTGGCAGTCTGCTTCTGTAAAGATTTACAGCCTTGAAAACCCGTTGGGGCAGTTCTACTCTGAGTCAGAATATACTCGAGGGCAATGAGTTTAGTTTTTTTGGTTTGAATGACCCTACTGCCCAACCATAACTACTGTGAACACTCTGATCTTTTCTCCCAGCTTTTCTATTTCTTATTTTCCCACATACCATAGTGGATGCTGACACATGATTGCTACCATGCCACCTGGTAACCACACATGGTTGAATGATGTCCCATCAAGGGGATGTGTCCTCAATTATAAACCATTCTCAGCCTCACACAATTAGGCTGCTTCAGTGTTTGGCTATTAAAATTATTGTCTTGGGGAGCATCTTGAAGAAAGCTTTCCCTCATGTAACATTACTTCCTCAGGATGGGATTCCTGGTCACTCACCCTGCCCCTCCCTCCCTAGGTTCTGCTGCACTTATCTTGCAGAAGGGTGAGATCCGCATCATCAACCAGACCACCTGTGAAAGTCTATTGCCACAGCAGCTCACTGCTCGCATGATGTGTGTGGGCTACCTCAGTGGGGGTGTGGACTCCTGCCAGGTGGGTGGGGACTCATTGATGGGAGGAAGACCAGAGGAAGGAACCCCACCTGTGGGAGGACAGTCTGGGGCAGGGCACCCATAGGGTCTGAGAAAAGCCAGGGCCAGGCCCTGGTGGCTTGTGAGGAAAACCCAGGCTGATGGGGCTGGGGAGAGGGCGGATTGGGCACTCATGCAGAATGGCTGGTTTCCCTTCAGGGTGACTCCGGGGGACCCCTGTCCAGTGTAGAAGCAGATGGGCGCATCTTCCAGGCTGGAGTGGTGAGCTGGGGTGAAGGCTGTGCACGGAGAGATAAACCTGGTGTGTACACAAGGCTTTCACTGTTTCGGGACTGGATCAAAGAACAGACTGGGGTGTAGCGCAAGTCATCCATCAACCACCGCCAGCATGCACACCTGCAGACTGAGGACCAACAGTGGCTGGCCTGTGTCCCACTGGGCCCTCCAGAGCCCAGACTGTGAACTGAATCCATGGAACTCAAATGGTGAACTTCTGCCTCTCTCTGCCTCACAGTGGGCCTGAGAAGGAGGAGGAGCATCCTGATAGTGGTTTGAAGACATGGCCCCAAGTCAGGCCACAGTGCTCCCCTGGAGACCCACTGCCTTTGCCTCTGAGGGGCAGCTGTAACTTTGTCTCTGAACCCTCTTTGATGGAGCTGATGGGAGGACTGCAGGCTATGGGCCATGAGGTCCAGGATCATACTTTTCTGGAGACCCAGATCAAAGGACTCTGAAAAAACAGACAACACTAAGATCTGAATGACTTTACAAGCTCCTGGGGTGGGTTCAATGCGTGCATTTGTATGTATGAGTAAAACATTTTATTTCTTTTTAGATTTCTGTTTTTCTTACTGGAGTTGATGGGCTCTCCATCCTCCCAGCCCTAGTTGCAAGAAACCTGGTTGAAATTCTCCTAAGCACAGTCCTGAAGTCAGGCTGAGAGTACAGTGCCTAGTACCTATTCTTCAGGTCAGCCAGGATGTATGTCTGCTCTTATCTAGAGTCCTGATACCCTGATGGGAAGGGCACATGGTAGGAGGGAGCACAGCAGTTGCCCAGACCTAAGTCTAGCCCAGCAGGGAGAAGCTTGGTCACAAGGAAGATAGGAGGGAACCTGGCTTTCTACTAAAGGAGAGGTGGTCATGTGAACAGCATGTGTGCATGGACTAGTGGGTGTGCATGGATTCTCTTTCTGTTTACTTGGGGGACAGTGTCAAGGAGTTGGGAAGGAGGTAGGGAGCTTTTATCCTGGGGCTTTGAAGTGGCCTTTTGAGGGACATGGAAAGCCTCCTGTAATAGGAGCTGATACTAGGGAGGGGAGTGGATGTAGGAAAAGAAAACAGGTGGTTGTTGTCATGAGGACAAGCCAGTCACTCTCTTCAATCTGCTTGTCACTATCTCACAGTCTAGCTCAGACTCAAAGTTGATACCGGCTCATAGCAACTCTATAGGACAGAGTAGAACTGCCCAATTGGGTTCCCAAGACTGTAAATCTTTACAGAAGCAGATGGTTTCATCTTTCTTTCATGAGGTGGCTGGTAGATTCCAATCACTAACCTTTTGGTTAGCAGCTTTAACCACTGCACCATCAGAGTTCTTCAGGCTCATAGGAGGTGCTAATACGTATTTGTTGACTGAATGGTCTTTGTCCTATATGAGTAACAGAAATAAAAGGGAGGAAAGATACAGTCCACTTGCCACAATCTAGGGAGACTTCTTGGAGGAGATGGGGTTTCAGCTGCCTCTTATTTTAGCCTGAATGTTTTACCCTTTGAGGGAGGGAGAAGTGTTATTTTGCCTGCTGTATCTGTTGGATATTCCTCCTGCCTCAGGGGTCCAGCGAAAGGAAAGGGAAAGAATATCTGTTCTTAGCAAGGTGTGGGAAGTAGGAAGAATAAAGATGACATCAAAAGACTGCTATGCATACTGTAAAATAGAGTAAATACTTGATTGTTCTGACAGAGGGTCCCAGTATCAGTGCTAAGCAAGAGTAGAGAAATGCCATGTGACATATATGAGGTCTGGTTACTAAGACAGCTAGGGCTTGTCCAGTCATGTACAAGGTTGGCATCAGTGTGGCTCAGGGAGACCAAATCATCCCATCCCAGTGCCCCATTTCTGCTGTGGCCCAACACCCCGGGGGGCGGGGGGCGTTCAGGCAGGCAGGGCCTCAGAAGATGTTCACTGTAGTAAGAGCCTTTGTCTTGAAGGCCCAGGGCTCCTCTGCAGCTCTGTCTGAGGCTGGCGTGTAGCTGATCAGCCTCATCATTTCCCACCTGAGGAGCGTGTTAAAGTACAGGAGCTAGTCTTCCAGGGCCATTGCCCCCACCTACTCCAGGAATCTGAGTGTAGGGTAGCTACTAACTATCATTATGTCAGTGGTTTTCAAAGTGAGGTCCCTGGACGAGACCATTAATGCCACCTAGAACTTGTTCTGGGTGCAGATTCTCAAGCCTTACGCAGACTTCTGGAATTAGAAATTCTGTGGTAGGGTCTAGTATCCTGTGTTTTAACAAGCCACCTGGGTGATTCTGATGCATACTGAAGTTTGAGAGCCACTGCTTTATCCAGGGTCATTGCCACTCAAGAGTGTCTATGGACTAACAGCATCAGCATCACCTGGGAGCTTGTTAGAAATCAGTATGTGGGTCCTACCACACATCTATGCTTGAGGTCCTGGCTATTCATGTGCACATTTGAGTTTGAGAAACATAGGTCTGTGTTGTTTTAAAGCTTCTTGGGTGATTTTGGGGCAGGTTTAGGGGCTGTAGTTCTAGCAGGGGGGCAATGTTCTGGTGAAGGTGGTAGAAGCAGCCCTGTTGGTATGAAGAAAATGGGACCCAGAAATGAGGGGAGGTCCACCGGCCCAATGAGGTGGGTGATGTACTCAGTCCTTCACATTTGAGGGACCCAGCAGCATTCGAGGTCATCTTATGTGGTTCACTCATACCCAAAACTGTAGGTAGAAGTGCACTGGGTCCTCATGGCCTGGTGATGTCATCTCTGGAAATCTTCCTGAACTTGGAGAAACATTGCATGCCTGGAAAAGTCAATGACATGTCGATGCTTTAAGGAGATAATGGAGGTTGGTGTATCACAGAGTTTGGTATGGCTGTATATGTGTATGAAAGATTGTATTGGTCTTAAAATATGTCTATCAATTCTTTGACATGCTTCCTTTCAAAAGGTGGAGACTAATTCTTCTCCCCTTGAATGTGACTAGGATTTGGTATCTTTTGATGAGTAGAATATGGCAGAAATGATAGTGTATGACTTCCAGGGCTAGGTCATAAAAGGCACTAAGTTTTCTTCCTTGCTTTCTTTGGGAGCATAGCCATCATGTCATGAGGACATTCAAGCAGCATTCTGGAGACCCACACAGGATCCTGAAGCCTCCTGCCCACAGCCAGCACCAGCTTTCCAGGCACGAGAGTGAGCCACTGTGGAGATAAAGTCTGTAGCCCCAGTCAAGGTTTCAGATGGTGCCGAAACCAAAAACTCACTGCCATTGACTCAATTCTGACAGCTTGTGACCCCCTACTGGGTTTCCTAGGCTGTAAATCTTTACGGAAGTAGATTGCTCCATCTTCCTTCTACAGAGTAGCCAACCTTCTGGCTAGCAGTCAAATGCCTTAGGCACTGCACCACGAGAACTCCTTGAGATGGTGCGGCCCTGGCCAGTATCTTGACTGCAACCGCATGAGAGTCTCCAAGCCAGAACCACCCAGCCACTTATAGAAACTGTGAGATAATAAATATTGTTATTTGAAGCTCCCCTCCAACACACGCAAAAAAAAAAAAAGACTGGAGCCACTTCAGTGTTAACTTCTGACCAGATGTAAAATGACTGGGCTAAGTATCCTTAACTTGCAGGCAGTCAGGTACTTCCTAATCAAGGCAGAAGTCACTGGTACAAAGGATCACAGTGAACAAGAATGAAAACAGGCCTCTGACCACTTCTGCTGAGGACACTCTCAGTCGGGTCTCAGCAGTGACACAATTACACACTAACACCGTATCTTGGGAGTAGGGAAAAGAGTGTATGGTGTCAACCACCTGCTTGGGTCTACTGTGTGCTTTTTCACTCATTTGCATCTTCAAGAACTCCAGCTCCAAGTGTGTGATAGGAAATCTGATTTAATTAGTGCCATCTGATGTGGTTGTCATCAAGTTTACAATTTAGAGCACGGGTGAATAGTGAAAAGTTCTTAAACCCTATTCATGTAATGCCACCCTGCAGCGGCGGGGAGAGGGGTGTTGAAAGGCAAGGTCATTAGGTGTGCCCCACCCCCACCCCACCCTAAACAGCTAGTTGTGAGTGAGAGCCATAGACAGTTTCACAGTGCACACTGCACTTGGCTTCATGCTTTATTGCTATCTTGAGATTACTTACTTTTTCCACAAAGAGACCTGCCTTTCCACCTTTGCACCAGCCACTCTGGTATCCTGAGGTGGAGGTGCAGAATGAGAACTGCATGGGGGAAGAGTTTGGAAGCCTGTAAGGGGGTTGTGGTGGATGGGGGCTGTTGATGAGTGGAGTCAGCCTGGGAGGGGAGTGAACTTTTCCACTTTCCTAACAGCAACTTCATTGGATGGGCTCTGGTCTGCAGGCTCCATCAGCAAACTCAGTCATGTCAGCAGATCTGGGTGAAGGACACTTTGGGGTGCTCTGCTCCACCTGCATGTGTGGAGCTCTGCTGTGACCCAGACTGGAGAGAAGGTCTGACAAGTGGGAGGAGGAGGTGGCAGGGGAGAAGCCGAAGGCCACCTGCAAGGGGTGGGGCTCCTGTTCACTGGGCTGGTCAGGGAAAGCTCCAGATTCTTGGCTGGGTTAATCCCACAAGCTCTAAGAACCACCTTGGTGTCTTCCATGACTGACTAGCTCTTTTGTTGATGAGATCTCAAAAGATTCATTTCTCTGGTTCCCCCTAACTCCATTGTATCTCTTGTTTAGTCACAAGTCTAAAACATTCTATTTAAAGCTTGATGAGTGCCTAATTCAGGGTCCTGCCTGTTACACCATCAGGGAATCTGAAGAGTAACAGTGAAATTCGTACTAACTAGGACAGGCTTTATAGAAAAATTAAGGTTTGGAGGTCTCCAGATAGTCAGAGGGAACTTGTGCGACCACTTAGGGGCACTGCAAGATTTAGCATCCAAGCTGCCAGCCACTTGAAGATGCTGCACTCTTAAAGGATAAAGAGGGGCCCACCTGTCTCCACTCATTCTTGGGAAGGCTGTCTTCTGTGCTCTAGGTTACCTATCTGTGCTGTGGTGTGCGTTCAAGGAGTTCCCATCACAAACTTTCCATGTCAGTCCTTCACATACTTCCTCCCTGGCCCACAGACGTTGAAACTACT